TTATTAGTTTCAAATAAATGATTTATAAGGCAGTATATTGAAATAAATATTTATTAATTTAATTTTTTTTTTCAGTGTCAAACTGACGTCATTCTTTTGTGCGTCCTTTGTATTTTGTTTGGAGTACTCGGTCAGTTTGACACTGAAAAAGAAAATTAAATTAATAAATATTTATTTAATAATAAGTATTATTAGTTTCAAATAAATGATTTATAAGGCAGTATATATTGAAATAAATATTTATTCAAATTCAATAATTTTTTTATAGTGCAGAAAAGAGAGTTAACAGCGTTTCGCGCGATTCTAAACGAGGGCTATCGCGATACAAGCGAGCAGGAGAAATCGGTTCCGCGTTCCTTAATGGAAACTACGTGTTCGCGTCGAGGTGGTGCGATCCGAAAAATAATTTCGCGGTTCAATCTTGCGTGAATCCTGCTTCGCGATCTGTTATGGCCGCGCTATCGTCATTATACTTAACGCGACGACGGTGGTTTCGATGGGCTGGATTAATGATGCAGAATCGAGTCGATAACGCGGATTAGCGGACTAATCGACGGAAATTCATTACCGCGAATCGACCGTCCAGATATCGCTTTGCAGCACGCGCTTAAATAGATGCGACACGACGCTGTATAAATGCCAACCAGTTTGAAGTCGGTAGCCGATCGTGCAACAGCAGTTACGGGCAGCAGGTGCCTTTCTTGCACGTTCTAATCTACATGAGCGGAATGCAGCCGAATTAAAGTTCCTTAGTCTTGTTGTTGCGCGGTTTACTGTCATTACCGTCCTGGCAATTAAGTATTTGCATCACGCGCATCGAAATCGCGCGAGATTTCCCCGTCTCTGTCTTGTCATTTCTTAGGGTGTCTAGCTGTCAGGGAATTTGATAAATCTGGAATTGTCAGGGAAGCCAGGAAATTTTACTATTTTTATCTGGATTTTTTTACATTTGTCTCAATAATTTGAAATTTTTTTATTAAATAAATATAAACTTTTCCTTGACTCCCAGCACGCTAATTTTCTGTGTTCTTAAAAATCGATTCATCTAGCGTGTTCGTTTATTTATATCTTCAGCGTCGTGTTATTTTATTTCTCAATGTGTTTAATAGAGACAAAATTAAAAAATTTGATATAATAAAAGAGGTGATTATTTACATAGTTTATAGTGACATGTTTCGATTATCGTACATAATGCAGATTGTATAATTGATTTAAAGTTTTGTTTTTTAAGTTCCGAACCTTTTCATCGTTGACAAAAATCTCTCAAGGATTTCATGATTTAACATTTAATTGATTTATCATATAGATATATGCAAATGATATATTTGGAAAAAATAATACTAAAAAGTCTAAATAAATTTAAATAATACTAAAAAATAATATTAAATAATACTAAAAATATAACACTGAAAGGGAAAAAAATGAATTTCTGGTCTTGGAAAATCTGAAAAAATCAGGGAATTTTTTTTCATTGAGTCTGCTGGACATCCTGTTTACTGTCATTACCGTCCTGGCAATTAAGTATTTGCATCACGCGCACCGAAATCGTGCGAGATCTCTGTCTCGTCATCTCTCTTCGCGTCCTATCTTTCGTGGATTACAAGTTTGCGAGAGAGAGGCCCCGTTTAATCGTAAACGCGTTAGGCTGTGAAATAACGATCGCGTCGGACGTGCGCGTTATTGTGTGAAAAGCGATCGTTACTTTGCGGGCGAAACGTGCTCTAGCATTCATCCTCTTTGATTAATGTCGAGATTAATGAAGAGTATGACGGTGAGAAATGAGCGTTAATGTTTCACATGCGCGATGATCGATCCTCCAAGACTGCACGAGTTATTTATGGGGCTTGGAATGATCGAATTACCGATTATCATTGTATTTACGTATGATGGAGCGTCCTTTTTTACACGAATAGCGAAATTGACCCGTGGACTGACTTGTAAAGTGTTTCAGCACAAGCACAAGTAGAGTTCTACATAAAGAAAAAATAATTATCTCAAAAAAAAGTAGAAATGAAATACACTCTCGGTGGATTAAATGTATTATATAGATATAAATAAAATAATAATTATAAACAGTAGGCACTTTAATTATTTTAGATCCATTTATTTTTGTCATTTATTTCACGATAATATTATGTTTATTTAATATGATATATTTAAATTATAACAATATGTTGCTTCTATAAGAAATTGAAGAAATGATATGAAGATATACTACGTAATTGCTCTCGTTTCACGATTCCATATATCCAAAACGTTGTCCATCGAGCCAATTATCCCTTCCTCAATCATTTTTTTGCGACAATCTCCCTCTATACCCAGAAGCGAGACTTTTGCATTGGCGGTTTTCTGCCGCCGCATTTCCGGCCGACCTTAATCGCGCATGCGTGTCGGCTGCCACGCGAAAGACTCTCGAGGACCTTAGTCGGCATCGCGTGACTTTCTGGGCGGCGTGTGCAGGGCAAGGTAATTTTATTCCCGCCGGGGACCCTGTCCAGCGATTCCGTGACGTGTCTCCGCTTTTTTCCCCTATAATTCGCCGCGCGCGGAGGAACGACCGTCGCGAAAGGGTTAGCGAGGAGAGACAGGACCCTTCTGCGGGTGCGCGGACGCTTAAGGTGCGTGGCGCTATATGGGAATGAGTTAATTACTTCATACGCACCCGGCCGATGCAGGCCGGTAATTATTTCGTTTATAACAGATGTCCGTGACGTTGAACGTATACGAGCCGCATAATCGATAAATTACGTACATTAATTTTGCACCTTTATTTTATAACTCTTTTAAAGTTCAACTAATTATTATTAATTATGCGCTCTCGTTTAATTGCGAAAATATATATATATATATATATATTATAATTATGAAAATTCTAGTGACACCGAAAAAGCGAGTCTGTCTCTTAAAAATATTTTTGTCGGTATTTCTAAAATTAATTATCACGTTGAAATTATTTGCATACACATTTCTCGCAGTAATTTATTTAAATTTATTTAAAATCATTTATATTTCTATATATTTTATACATTTGTTTTATTTGCTATATTTATATTAAATCTCTGCAAATTTCAATTATTATAGTATTATTTTTTACTAGCTTATTTTATCAATAAACAAAATAAGAAAAATTGACAACTAAATTAACTAAAATTATAAAAATTAATTTGCTATAAAATATTTAATTTGTCTTATACAATATAATACTATTGAGGCGATCGTTTTGATTCATTAAATTTGTCGCTCTCTCATGTCATTAAATGAAAGGGCCTTCGCCACAAAATAAATACGGATGAAGTTTCGATAAAGCACGAGTTATCGTCATACCTGCCAGCTGAGTCTGTGCCTTAACAATATATCTGAACGAAGATCGTCGGTCGGAGTAACTAAGTTTGTAACGGCGACGTTTAATGATTTTCCATCTTCCTCTGTGACAGCGACTATCAGATTTCCAATCCGAATACCGGTCTCTCGGTGATATCACCTTTTTCTACATTCGTCCTTCGTTGAAAAAAAAATCAGATAATGAAGATTTTATGATTGGCTTTACGACGCTCGACTCTTCAGCATTTAGTATTTAGTAATTTATGCATGATGTTAATCGTAGGTCCTTCAAAGATCATTATATAAATATCTCTTCCCGAGACATTTATTAAAACGAAACATAAAAAGGAGGACATTTAATACTGAAGAATTTGATTTTTAAATATTTCTTAATAGATTTGAGATAACTTATATGTGACGGTATTACAAGTATATATGTCATATATATGTAGAATAAAAGTCTCAACATATTAGCTATGTATATTTTTATTGCATTATTATAATATTCATATTATATTTTGCAAATATAATATTAGACACGCATATACATATATTGAAAAAAAGATAAAATAATTTAAGGGGATTTAGCATGCCTCAAAATAAGTTTGTCTTAATAAACGGGTTCGCAAATGAGCCATTATTGATATTTGCAATATATCATATAATTTAATTTACCCATATTCACACGAATAAAGTAATAAGAAAAATAATAAAAATTTTAAATAAAAAATAAAAATGATAAAAAGAAATATCCCAAAAAATGTTTCCAAAAATAAAAATATCGAAAACGATTTATTTGCGGACTCAATGTTTATTGAGGTTTTTTGGCTTGTTTTAGGTATATATACTAAATCTTCTAAAAAAATATTTTATATTTTTTTTTCCAACATCCTGTATGTTTTCAAAGGGTCGTTTTTGAAACGCAAATTTACATTTTCCTTTGCTCTCTTTCACTCTCTTTCTCTTTATTTTACTTTCATGGACACTCACAATAAAAGAAAATAATAAACACTGGACGCAATTCTCGTACATAGTATATCCCTCGCGATGTGGGCGCGGTGCATGCTGACAGGATCAAAAGAGAGCACAGAAAGGTAAAAGTGTTACAAGAGGGATAATCCTATATCCACGTCGCAGCGGATTGAATGCAGTCGACATAAATGCGTGACTGAATCAAAGGAAAAGAGAAAAGAAAGAAACTGTCACGTCGGTTCCATCAGAGATGTTTACACGGACTATTTCTTTTTCAAACATTTCGCTTCCAAGTGTAGTACATAATTGCTCCAATTCGAACATTTTTCTTATTAGAAAGTAGTGGAAAAAATTTAGGGAAATTGAGAGAGAAAAATACAGTAGTGCATTGATAGGATTGTGTCAATTATAACGAATTGAGTTATATACACTGTAAAAAAGATATGTAAAATTACATTAAAAATATGTAAAATTACATAAATAATAAATGTAAAATTACATGATAAATAATGAAAAGGTAAACATTTCTATTATTTATCGTGTAATTTTACACTTATTATTTATGTAATTTTACATATTTTTGTGCAATATATTACATATTTTTTTACAGTGTATATATATATATATGTATGTATGTCCAACGTGATATTATACATATTTTATTGAAATGCGTGAATTATAAATTGGATTACTTACGTTTGTTTTAGCGGAGGAAAATTCATCACCGTCGGCGACAGAATCAGATTACCAGATGATGTAACGATGGGGTACATTATCGAATATCTGTTGAAAAAACAACTCACAGTCGTAGAACAGTTTCACTCGCATCTTGAGCCAATGAAGTTCCTGAATAAGGATACCTTTCACGAACAGGTAATTAAGCACAATATGTCGTTCTTTAAATTCTATTTCGAGTGAAAAATTGCACCATCTCTTTTGAAAAAAATTAATTATGAACAAAATTAAATCACTCTTAGATTAAGTAAGATTTTTTATCGTGAAATTTCGCGAATTTTTGCAAACTTAGATTAAGATAACTTTGTTTCAATGATATTCAATAATAATTTCATGTCCATTATAATTTCAATGGATATTCGCAAAAAAGTAGTCTGTCATGATGCAAGATATAAGTAGCCAAAATTAATGCACGCGACGCATTCTGAGTACATAAGGGTCATGATAAATAGCATGATGATAAATAATGGAAGGATAATAGAATGATTTGAAGCAAACACGATGAATCACAGACCACGCGCACCGAGTGCATCATCTGTTTTATTTTACATAATGTAATAGCTATTTATTTAATCGTATAGTTTCCGTTTATTATAAGTTCTCAGACTATATATCATAATAGGAGCAATCACAAGCATATAAAAATACATGTCCTATCGTCGACGTCAGGTATTAACTAAATTGCCTCATATGCATTTCTTATTCTTCTTTGCATATCATTACATACAGTAAATATTTTGTTTGAAAAATAAAAAATCTATTTAACATGTTCATTATTTAATAATCGATGTAAACATTTTTATCACACACACATAATTACATTAGATGCGAATCAGAATCTCTTTCTAATAAGATACCTTTTTCTAATAAGATCATTTCTCGACATGTGTGTATCACATAAAAAATTTCTATCAAAAATTATTATTTGATTTTTAAATTTTTCATTTGTGATATTACAATAAAGACTATGAATTATTTATAAATTGTTCGTCAAAGTGTTGTAATATATGCGTTAAGCTCGAGTTACAAGGTATGTGAGTGATCGCATGGTCGGCGAAAACATGCGTGATGTTGTGCAAAACGTTGGCACAAAAAGTATTTTCTTTCACGACCAGCATTATGCTTTAGGGTCTCGGATTTCGCAGAATATACGTGGACAAAATGAGAGTGCGCATATGCATATGCGATGCGTCAAAATAAATGAAGTCACTTTCGACATTGCTCGGTTTCTGATATACAATCCTCTGCCGAGGAAATTAAAGATCTTTGAATTAAAATCTTTTTTGCGTTTTATTTGTTCTAGGTTTCTTTTAGTTATTCCAAGGGACCTAGAGATGAATGGAATATCCTGAAGATAGACGGTTTTGACATGAAGGACGACCCAAAGAGGTAAAGCATTTTGTTTCATATTATATATTGCTTTATAATTTTATTTCTTTTTTTATTTCGGATATTTTTCCATTTGTACGAGAATATTTTTTGCCTGTAATATTTGATTTATTTGTGAATTTTGAACGGTGCCGCTAGTGTTATTGCAAAAACACTATCGGTATTTAGATCGAGAGTGTTTTTGCAATAACACTATCGGCGCCGTTCGAAATTTAGATGTGCATTTTCACATTTAAATTGAATCATTTTCGTGGCGGAACGCGGGAAGTTCTGTCTGCAATCTTCAATTTCCTGTTTCTTTGAATCCTCTTCCCTGACGCAACATTGCATCAAAGCCTCAATTACTTCTATAATTGCCACCTTCACCTAGAGTGCTCGCGTAGAATGCCGGTTTGGACACCAGAAGAAATTCTTTAAGAGAAATAACTAAATTAAAGAATATTTTTATAATATTTGTACGAAGATAAATATAATACTGCAAAATATCGTGACATTTATTTTACATTTTTTGCAACAATTTTTTACACATTGGTTAAAGATTATATTTTTATTCGAAATATTATATATGATTAATTAATTAGATATTAATTAAATTAAGGAATGTACAGATTAAGAAATGTTGTCCTTAGTTTTCAGATGTCTTTAATATAAAATTTAAAAATAAGTGAAATATATATTAAATATATAAAGCACGTAAAAAATTATTTAAATTTACACGATTGATGTATGTCATTTCAGAAGCATAATAATTCGAATAATAGATGCGGTTTCATCTTGAATAATTCAACTCTTTATATACGCGCGAGTATAAAATGACATTTTGCGAAATGACACGTGCAGTCTACGTGACGTTAAGTGTAAACATTTGTAATTAGCATTCTCATTATTTAACAATGCGAAATATTTCCTGACGTTTTCTTTCGTGTAATTGGCATCAGTGAAAGACGGAAGGGAGATGAATAATTACGCGTCATTGCAATGTGTCTTGTAAGTTTTAATTGACTTAATAATAATTGCGATTTTTACGAACCTCTCTTTCCTTCACTGTTTCTGTTTCATATTTCTGACGAGAAAAATGGCTCATTTCCTATTAATGCAAATTTTTGCACCGCTCGCCACGAATATCTTTTCAGATTATTTATTTAGCATTGCAAGGGAAGAGCAAAGTTTTGCGTTTTCGAATATTAATGATTAAGAAAATATTACAGTCAAGTCGCTGCTAGTTAAGTAGGTATATCCGATGGCTTGTTTATATCGAGAGGGCACGTATTACGGATATTAAATTGTATTTTCTTTCCTTTTGTTATATTCTTCATGGATGACGTTTTATTAAAAGTTTATATTACGCAAGTTTGCCACATTGATCTTATTGATCATAATTTGCAAGTGGCTTTCATAGTCTGTCGGATTTTCAATATGCGGATTGAAGTATCTTGCATTATAATTTAATTTATTCTTTTTCATAGACTATATAAAATATCCGTAAATTCTTTGATTTTTTTTCAATGTATCGAGACTTATCCATATTTATTATTGCAAAAGGTATCTAGATTTTAATTCCAAAAATAACAATGCAAATGTATATTATTAAATATTTTTTTGCATCAAATTTGCTAACTTTGATTCTGTCGCATATTTCCAATTTTGAATTACGTTATTAGGCAACAGCCTTTTAACACGTAACTATACTTTTTTGTTCCAGATTCAGGTCCATTCACTGTCATCTGTTTCCTCATGTTCCTTATTGTCCGCACAGATGATACAAGATCGCGCGGCAAATGTAAAAATAAAAAAAGTCGAACTTACTGATCTTTTGTTGTGTTAGAAAAAACATGGGGAGAAAACGTAAGTTCTCGTTAAAGAGGATGAGAGCAGAGAGTATTTCCTGATTGCATACAGAGAGGAAACATGAAAGGTCAACATACGGTAAGGAGCATAACTTAATTAATATCGATATTTTAAGAAAGAAAATTATTAAAATTATTCTTATTCTTTAGATATATATATATAATACATGTACGAAGAAAATTATTCTTCTATATGTATATATATATATATATATATAATAAAAAAATAGAAAAATGAACAATATTAACTATATCAAAGTTTAGTCGATTGCATATATTAAAAAATACTCTGAAATATAAATATACTCTTATACGCAGAGAATATATGCGTAATAAAAATAATGAAATATTCAGTAAAAGAATGAACAATATAAACACGAGAAGAAATTTTTTAATTTTATTGGTATATTGCATCGATTTTGATAATAATAATTTTTCTTTCTTATAAAATATATTATTTTACACACATTCATATATAAATTGTTAGGCTCCTTATTTGTTGATTAGTGACTACAATATGATTGGAAAAACGCGCGATGAGAATTTTGGTTTGTAAATTCTCTTGTTATTCTGAGCTTGTTATATATATGTTACTTCTTTTTGTCTTTTAAAATATTTGTATAAAGTTGTACATATACATATAGGTAATTATTTCTTCGATTTGTTCTAATAGTTTTTGTGCAGTGCAAGCAAAATTGCCAGAGTTGACATTTTTAAAAATTAATATATATATATATAATATATATTATTCAATATATATTATCTATATAATGTTTTATATAAGTAATATTTATATACTTCTATTAATATTTACATATTTATATGCACAAAGTGAGCAAAAGAAAATATGGAAAGTGAAAAAAGGTTAAAGAGGAGCACACGACGAAATAATGACAGATGTCACATGGCATTTCTGTTTTTCCACGTACTATATAATGTAACTTGCACTAGCAAGCGTGTAGGCGTATATATTAACAGCTGCATCTGTGCAATACGATACATGTAATTGTAATTCGCTGACAGTTTCGTCAACGCGAAATGGAATTAAGCTAGTCCCTCGCAGAATGACAGATAGCAGTATATAATGTGATATTTAGCGCGCGCGAATTTTTATATGTACATGTATATCTTTTAAATGTCTCTTCTTTTCATAGGATTTTACATCGTTAATTTTTTACGATGCTATAAAAAAATATTTATATGCGATATGTCGAAATATGTGTGCAATATGGAATATATATGAGATACGTTTATTTTCAAAGTTGTGTGAGTTATTCTTGAAATTTTAAGAATTATTAGTGAAATGTATATATGTCGAAAAATTATTGCAATTAGACTTACACTATTTTGAAAATGAACTATTCATATTATTATTGATTGCTTTGAACGAATTTGGTAATTAATTTGAGAAGAGCGCGAGGGAAGTCTTATCATTAAATAGGTGGGATCTCAATGTATATTTATCAATAAGATGTATCGCGTTACATGTGTATTACAATTACACATGTAACGTGATACATGGAAGGAACGCGCGAAAGCTATATATAATGACGTCGACGTTGTTACTTCGATATAATAACGACATATTGAATTGTACGATATTGATTATATGCTGTGCGATTATGTTTTATAATAGATTATGTATATGCACAATGTGATTACAGGATTTTTGATGTTGATCTTGGCCCGTCACACCTGCATCCTTCAATCTCCACAACGTTTTACGTCACCGTAAAAAAATATATAATACGCCATTTCCACATTTTTCCTATTTATTTAACGCATTTTCATCTTTTCAGAGCTATTTAGTTGCAATTACAATTTTTAGTATTATTATACAATTTCCATCTTTTTGCAGTTATTTATGAAATTATTACATTTAAAGATATAAATTATTGTGTTATTATATCGGACTTTAGATTTTATTCAATACATTTATTTATAAATTTGATACATATTATTTACATAACAAAAGCTTTAAAGCATTAAATTTTCTCTTTCAGATCAGATTTTCAATCATATTTTATCAATTAATATTAAATAATAAATTTAACGACGCGAGTCCTATAAAGCAGTCGTCGAGTTTTAGTTCAACGGAAAGAGACAACTGACCTAATATCGTCAAATTAATATTTATTGATGGATACAATGATGTATAAGGTACTTTCGAAATACCCTCATCTGTTATAGTCAACCTGAAGCAAGGCTGCTGGTCGATAAACTAGACCGCTGTCGCTGTCTTCAGGATACAAGAGCGAGCAGTGACAATTAGCAACAGCCAGTACGAGTTGATCCTCCTCTCGTGATAATTGTTCTATTTCATCGCATCAATAATACCAATAAAAGCGCGCGCATTAATGATTAATTATTGCATTTTCTTAGCAAATGATACGATCGATCAAGATTATCGTGTAATGATGATTAACAAACATTGACAGTTGAGTTATATCAACGGTAAGTAACTATAATTGAGTCGGAAATTTATTATCGAGTCAATTAATTACGCATTTGAATTGTTCCGCGAGCGATATAAGCGAGATATTTAAATGATATATATATATTCATCTTTTTCTATCTTGATTATGTAACAGATTCAGAGAGATTCACAATTAATCTTCATAATATTTGTCAATTTATTATTTTGACATAATGATTGCGAAAGAGAAACGAAATAAGAGTCATAATATATTGATTTACGAGACACGATTATAATTATACAAAAAAAGATTTGTAATAGGATATAATAGATATAATTTTTTTAGCAATAAGGATCTTCATGCAAATTTCACGATTTATATTTCTATATGAAAATATGTCGCATTTTTACACCTTAGATTTGCCGAAGCGTATTTAGTTAAAATCGATATGCGGCACATAAATATACAATACTTTGCCGATTACAATAGTTTGCCGAGCATCAGTAATTTTGAATTCAGATATTTACGATATTCCTGCGGCGAATACGAATGCACGGAGAAAACGATTGCGGCAAGAACTCGATCTGGACTCTGCCATTAATTTAACGATACATTGCTCTCGGCACCATGGTTTATTCAATGTTGCATTTGCGATCTCATATTTTAAATCTCAAATTTCCCATGTAGAGAGCCTGCCTTTCCTCTTTTTATTCCCTCGCGCGGTCACTCGATATTCCGCCTTCGCTCGCATCGCAAATACGGAGATGGTCTAAATATCGGATGGATACAACGAGAGAAAAAGCGGGTGAGGATCAGGTCGGCCGAGGGCGAAAAAAATTCAGGGAGAGAGAAGGGGATGAAACGATCCCTAAGACGGTTAAACTGGAGGGTTAAAAGCTACGTGTGTCGAAAAAAAAAAAAAGCGCGATACGATATGGCACTTTCATATCGGTTCACCCTCGTTCACGGAAGGCTCGTCTTCTCTCTCGGGGATAGAAGCAGAAATATTTCGCTTCTCGCATTGCATAAAGATTCTCAATTGCACCGTGCTGCACCGCGCTAGGAATTGCAAGCCGATATACATATATTGCGGGATGCATCTTATATATATATTTCTCTCTTTCCATCCTTTTTTCTCCTTTCTCGCTCGTTCCTGTCTCGTTTCGTTTCGTTGTGTAGCCAGTCTCGTCGCGAGACGGTGAAGGAAAGTTTTCCAATAAAAGATGTTTATGCCGACTTTCACCTGCGGATCTTCCTCGCAGTCGGGATATTTTATTGTGTGAGTGGACGTGTCATATAAAGTTTTTTTTTTTTTTTTTTTTTTTCGTTATGAAATATTGTTCTTGGACGTGACTCGACGAATTACAATTAGAAAATCGATCTCGTTTATTCTTAAGGAATTTTGGTATCTTTTTTTTCTCTTTTTCTTGTTTAATATTGATTTGATGCAGTTGTAATAAATTTATCGTATAAAAAGTTTTGCTCGCGTTACGCAAGACGCGAATGATTTTTAATTCATTTTGATTTTAATTAAAATCAAAATTTAATTTAATTAAAGTTTAACACGTTGTAACATGACAGTAGATATATTGACGTTATAATTCGTCGCATTGTTAGTCAGACATTTAGAACAATTGACGTTCGGGTTTTCGATTTTAATTAAAATATGATAAAATAACTTGAATATATATAACACAATAATTTTATTGCTTATATATATTTAGTGTGTGTGTGTGTGTGTGTGTGACTTATCATAATCGACGAAAAATAGTTCCCCGACAGTGAGTTGAATTATGACATTAATTAAGAAATTTAACGCATTGCAATTGCAATGTATTCGAGCGTTAATCGTATTTTTTGCGATTCTCTGCAAAGATATATACGAGAGAGATATAGAAACTTCGGCGTCATTGCATGTCGGGGTTGCGGTATAAAAAGTCGACCGCATGGCAGTATCGAAATTTAATAACCGGCATTCGGCCGCCTCGTCGACGTATTCTCGATATCGGTGGACAAGCTAGCACCCAGAAATTACACCGGGGGACGTTGAATACCGCGAGTTGAACCAAAAAGCAAAAAGAAAAAAAAAAAAAATAAACGGGCAGTCGTAAAGGTAACGATAGCCGGATTTATTAGCGCGTGGGTCGCGGTTTTCACAATTCCTTCTTTTTTTCTTTTCCTATTTATCTTTCATGTCGGCGCGCATTGGCCGCTCTTTTTCCCAGCGAGATCTCATTCACGAAAAACCGCGGTGTTTCAGTTGAACCGGGAATGACGTAAAAGCGTAGCAGGGTGGGGGTTTGCACCCTGGGGCGGCAATGACGTAAGAACAGGATCGAGTTATTACTACTTTGGACCCACGACTGAATCAAGAAATGCTTTAATGACATTCGAATCAAAATGGAGCACAGATTTCTAAAGCGCAAGGAATACAATTATTAATTATATATATTCTTATTATATTATTATACAATTAGTTTTAATATTTTAGTAATTATTATTGAAAAGAATATTAAAACTAATTGTGTATAAGAATATAATAATATATAATAAGAACATATTGTATATAATTAATAATTGTATTCCTTGTGCTTTAGGAAAATATTATATTCTTATACAATTAGTTTTAATATTTTAGTAATTATTATTGAAAAGAATAATTACTAAAATATTAAAACTAATTGTATAAGAATAGAATATAATTAATAATTGTATTCCTTGTGCATTAGAAAATCTGTGCTCTA